TGACGAAGCGAGGCGTGTCAGGTGGGTGGGGGGTGACGTGGCTTGGGGTGGGGAGGTGTGACGTGAGAAGTGGGGCGTTTTGTTGGCGGACGTGGCGGATGCAGGAGGGTGTGACATGGCGGAAGGTGAGGGTTGGGGATGACGTGGCGGTTTGGATGGGTACAAGAGAGCGGCGCATGACGAGGCAACGCGTGTCAAGGGAGTGGGGGGTGACGTGGCTTGGGGTGGGGGGGTGTGACGTGGCAAGTGGGGCGGGTTGTTGTTGGACGTGGCGGATGCAGGAGGGTGTGACGTGGCAAGTTCACACAGTGTTGCTACTCCATCCTATGGTCACGCGGCCACAATCATAACTACTTGTTTCTCTCTCCCCTGTCGTGTTGTATACCCTTCACCTCTGTGCAGAACGAAGCCTACTTAGTGTGCTCTCAGCTCATGTTTCTGAACCCGCCGGAAAAAATACAATACTACCCTGCACCAAAGGAAGTGTTCGATGCGTTCTCTGTCCACTTGTCTGCAGAAGGGCTCGAGTCAATGAAGTTGCTGTGGTTACACAATGACAAGTCAACCATGCGAGTCTTCAACTACCAGATGTCATCAACAAGGTCAACTATCAACTCCACCCTCAGGCCAGCAGCCTACACCGGCATAGGCTTTGCCGATTACAAGCATCTCGTGGATAGCCTGCCCAGTGAGCTACACCCAATGAGGTGGTTCAACAACAAGCAACTCCTAGCCGAGTACAGAGATGGTATGGGCAACTAGAAAACACCATATGCCCCACCATATGCCACTTGGCAGCTACATATCACCGTGCGATGTGGCTCACCCTGACTCTCATCCCCCCACTTGATATCTCTACACCCCCTTTCCAACCCATACCCTCCCTGCCAAAATGCTGAATAGTGGGCCCTCAACTAGCACTTTGACAAGGTTACCAGGACGCCCTTCAGCAACCCTATGTCCGCTTATGCGTTCAAGCTCTCCTTCAAGAGGGGCGGGGTCGTGTTCACCAACTTCAAGAGCCGCATGGTGGAATGGGGCTTGTTTTCGGTAAAGATGTAGATATGTGTTTGTACCCCCATGGCTCATCCCCTTAACCTCTTGCCTGTAATTCAGCCAAATCCTTGGTCGATTAAGCCTTTGCAGTTACGTAGATAGTGACGACTGAATCACCGCTTTCAGTTGGCTCCTTTACCAGTAATCCCCCCTCCTCATAAACCATCCACCCAACCCTACACCACATTGCACATCAAATGGCCCCTTCTGCAGGATCAGCGTCGCAAACGAATTAGTAGCCAGCCGGAACAAAACAGGCCAGACTACTTGGAGTGGTGCAAAAAGGTCAAACAGATGATCCACTTTGCTGTCGTGGAGCGGAGGATCCCCCACGATCCGGCACAGGGTGCGTTCGTTATCCCGAGGAAGTTCCTCATCGACGATGGCGACCTTGAATAGGTGGTCCTTGCCCACCGAACGCTTGCAAGGCCCAGCAGTGCGTAGGCTATTTGACCTGGTGCTAAGACTCCTTGTTGCTAGAATGCTGAATAATTGTTGTTGTAAGCTAGAATAATAAATGTAATTTGAAATCCTCAATATCCAACATGAACAAAAGAAGAATGTAGTTTTGAATAATTTGGTCACGTATTTGCACCAAAATGGATTGCGCCCGAACGTCATCCGGAAAAGCTCGCGTGCCAAATTGGAACTTGACCCGAGCCAAACCTTGTCCCGAGATGTGTCTCGGAACTCCTTTTAAATGACTCCAACCGTCGGTCCAAATTGGCTCCGGATTCTTTTACGCGAAGACAATCAAAATCAAATTTCGTCCAAACTCCGAATGTGAATCGCGCGCTCGCCACGATGCGCCAACGTCCTCTCATGCGGCATCTCGAGGAACACCGGCGTCTAGTCAGCGTTGACAACGTTCCAGGGGTCGATGTCGTCGCAGACTACTTGCCTCCTGCAAAACTTCCAGAAGCTTTCACACTTCGTGTTGAAATCTGCAAGAAACAGTCACGCACGATTGAGTTAGTAATTGTAGAGCAACAAAAAACTCCGCTTATTAATTTTACGCACCTTTAATCAGCCGCTGCCCGATCTTCGTCTTCACCCGCATGGTAAGTCCCCAGCGCAGGCGAAACCTGACCGTCCATCGAGGAGAGGCGCGCCCGTCGACCTGAGGGTGCCGGTTCTTCATCAAAATCCGGCTCCACGTCTGCACCAACTTAATCGGGACCGCCAGTCCCCATGACCTGTGGCTCAAGAACTACTTGTAAACGGAAGTTTCCATGTTAGGGTATTGGGCATGCCGTCCGCCACCTGCAAGCCGCAGGCGACTGCCAGCCGACGATGCCATCTCTTCAGACGCCTTCATCCAGCGATGGATGCTAGCTGGTTGAACGCCGGCCAGCCGTGCAGTTTCGCGCACCGTCAGGATCTCTGCGGAGATAACTACTACAACGGGAGATAGACTACGGGCTAGGCACGGGTGCTCGTGTGATTTCTGCGTTCGTTGGTCCTTAGTCGTTTTCCTAATGCACACATTGCTTGCTAGTTCACGGGGCAATTTCGTTAGAGTTTCACTAGAGAAAGTAGACAACAATTGTGCAATCAGGTTGGTAAGACAAGACTACATCAGAGCTAGCATTCAGGTCGGTCGACTGCCAGCACAGCATGGTCGACCGCGTTCCTGCACGACTTGGTCGACCGTGCTCCAGCAGTGCAAAGCCTACGGCGTGCCAACGCTATAGGTGGACAGCGTGCCAGCGTTGCTCCCGCAGAACAGCAGCGCACCAGCGTCGCAGGTGCTTGCAGATGATTGGCGTGCTAAGCCTTGTCACCTGCACAGCGCACACACCAAGTCAACCTGGCGCTGACGACTGCATCTAATCAGCCATGTCGACCTCGGGATACCACCACCGAGGTCAAACTCGCCAACTTCGCCTGGGCGACCGTCGTACTCCTCCGCAGATCCTCGTCACCCAGGGTACCGGGTCGACCAGGCAACCACATCGACCAGCTGCTCCTGTATGTGCCCTTCGACCTCCCAAGTCGATGACCACCCCAAGTCGACCTCACGAGGTCAACCACACCTCTGGTCGAGCAGCTCCAGGTCGACATCACTCCTGGTCGACTAGCTCCACGTCGACAAGCACTCCTAGTCGACCAGCTCCATATCGACCAGCGCAGTTGTCGCCGACCACCCAAATCGGCTACCCGAAGTCGGCATCACCCAGTTGACGCCCTGCTACGCGACGCCCAACTGCTCGGCGTCCTGAGTCGTGGTCGACGTCGGCCCCTCCTTCGTCGACACCAGGACAGGTCAACCACCAGGTCGACCAGCAGGACTGTCAGCCGACCACCCAAGTCAGCTGCCCCAAGTTGGCGTCACCAAGTTGACGCCCTCCACAGGTCGACTTCCCAGGTTGACCTCCCTGAAGTCGGCGCCACCCTGAAGTCGGCGCCCGTGCAGTAGCCGCCGTGCAGGTCGGCCTCCTTGTCAACCAGCTCGCCCACTGCTGCAGGTCGGCTGCTCCCCTCACACCCGACCACGAAGTCGGCTCCGCCCAAGCGAGGACGGGGCCAACTCACAACTCCCGTTGACAATCTCATCCTTCATCCGCAAAAGCCAACCCGTCTTCTCAGCCATGGTGCGAGCGTGCCGGAGGTCGACCTGGGAAGTCGACCTCGGTTACAGCATCACGTGCGACCGCGGCAGGGTTGACATCGCACGTCACATCAGTGGGGAACTGGGGGAGAGGAAAAGGTAGGTTTTCATCGGTCGCTGCCGCATCGCCGCTCCCCTCGTCATCGGTAGAAGACGCGTGAGGCTCACAGGTTCGAAGTGGTAAGGGAAAGGGGGCACGGGTGGCGCCGGATGAGCGAGAGTTGCTGGAGGAGAGGGTGTAGCCGTCGGAGGAGCCGGCGGGGCTGATGGAGGCGGGGGTGAGTTCGCCATGGCTGCAAGGCCGCGGGCTGCACTAACAGCCCGCATCTTTATCAGCATGTCCAGCGCCGACATGACCGCGTCTGTAGGGGAGTGCGGGCTAAACTAGCGGGAGAGAACATGGTGGCTAGGAGAGTCGAGGGGAGGCTTTCATCTAAAAAAAAAAAACCGTGAATGAGCCTCACCGACCCGGACTACCCCTTCTGAAGCCGGGGAGGACAAGGGCGTGAGTTGGGGGGGTTCACGTTCCCTGTGTTGCATGCATTCCAGCTGTGCACGGTGGAACGTTCTCGAACCCATCACCCCATCAGATGCAATGAATTTGATCGGGTGCAGGTTGTGTGGTCACTCCTCCAATCAGGAGCAGGGGCGCCGTGCCAGCACCGCCTAGTGTTGCCGCTGTCATGCTTCAATGTGTGACGTGTGGCATGGGGCGAGGTGTGGGAAAGTTGCCATATGGTTCCTCGCTTACATGCAAACTCGAATTCGCTGAGGGAAAAAAAAAAAGAATTTACTCAACACTCTCCCTTACATTCCGTATTTCTGTAATTGTTAGATGTCCAGGGGTCTTATGCATTATATGCCATTACATAAGACCCCACAACCCATTTCAAGCACATTTAGGATACGACCCCCGGGTCTTCTAACTGGGAGATCACAGTAGTATGCATGAAACAACTTTCCGTGCTTGGAGTAGCTACTAAGAATACATTGTGCAAGCTGTGTTTTGTGTCTTCTGCGTAGTGGATGTAGAGGAGCTGACTCATAACGCGGTGTCAGATTCCCCTATGCTGCTTGGGGTCCTTTTTGCTTCTAAATATATTTAACGCGTTTGGATACGTTGAGTTACGATTGAGAACGGTTCTTTACTTTCTCCACAATCTTGTTCACACATTCACCTTCCCAGCTATCAGGATCAGTCATGACAGTCGGCGGCGGCAGAATGGCTGCCATCACGGAGCTCTCTAGGCTCACGGCTCCACAGCCTGCGGCTGAGTTAGGAGGCAAAAGGATCAGAATCAAAATGTGTCAATCTCGTCTAACCAACGGCAATATGGCCGTGTGCGGGGCTGTCGCGCAGATCAGAGCGTTAGCGGAGCCGAATCGACGGCGAGTATGCACTTTACGCGTCGGATGCAGCTTGTTGTCACCGCTGCAATCCCAAGCCGCACGAGAGGCTGACGTTTGCCTTCTGTCTGTCTGAGAATCCTCCCGACGCTCCCGGACCCCTCTCGAGTCGCGAGAGCACTATGTCGAATCCGCACCCTAGCCGTCGAGTGCGGTTGGAAATATATATTTTCGACTCGGTGTGGTCTCTACTTGCAAAACAAACGAGCGTCGCATTCACTCGTGAAGAGCCTTGCCTGCTGCGAGTACAGCCCGCGGCACTTATCGTCTCAGTCTGTTCCATTCGCAGAGTGCCTTCCGTCTCATCGCGCGCCATGCCTCGCCTTCTCCCGCCAACTCTCCACCTCGCGCCGCTCCTCGCAGCAGTCGCCGCGCGTTGGTGAGTGTAGCAGTGGGGGCGCCTCTGGCGGGGCGGGAGTGCGTGAACGACTTCCCCCGGCGCGCGCTGTGCAAGTTCGTGGACGATCTGCGCGACGCCATTCCCGAGCAGATCGACGCCTCCACGGGCGCGCCCATCCGCATCGGCGCCTACCAGATCCGCCAGGCCAGCCCCCCCCTCCGCCCTCTGCTTCCGATCCCCGCTCCCGCTTTCATTTACTCACGTCCCCTCACTTGCATCCGTTCAGCCAACCCCCCCGTCCCGTTCCCTCGCTCGCTTCTCCCTTCTCCATTCTCCTCGCTTTTCCACTCTTGCCGGTCTCGCCCTTGCTGACGCATCTTCCATTCGATCCCCTACCCCCTCCCCAACCGCACGGGCTGCAGAAGCTGCACCGCGACCTGCCGCCCACGAAGCTGTACGCGTACGGCCGCAGCGCTGCCACGGCGCACTACCCCGGCCCCACGCTCGTCGCCAAGCGCGGCGTGCCCTCCCAGGTACAGCAACGGTGCGGGGAAGCGCTCCCCCGTTTTTCCCTCTGATTTCCTGCTCGGCCGCCGCTGCTCTCCTGGTTGTGCACTGACAGCAAAGGCTCGCGTTTCTCCTGTCCTGCGCGCTCATCTCATATGCATGCATACCTGTGGGACCATGCTGACTCTGGTACCGGGTGGGGTGGGCGAGCAGGTGTACTGGGAGAACCACCTGACGGACCGCCACCACATGTTCCCCGTCGACTACTCCATTGACGACGTCGCCCGCCCGCTGCTGGGCGGCATCCCCATCGGTGAGCCGCGCTGCTTCCCCAATAGGTTAATTCATTCACATGCTCACACTTCCCTAACGCTCTCTATTCCTCTCCCCATCATGCTCCCTAATCTGTTCACATGCCCATGCTCTCATCACGCCCTTCTTCCTCTCGCGCTCCTTCTCCGCAGTGACGCACAGGCACGGAGGGGAGAATCCATCATTCGCGGACGGCACCCCGAGGCGTGGTTCATGCAGTACAGCGAGGTGGGGCGCGCCTTCCGCACGCGGCTGTACCGCTACCCGAACCACCAGCTGCCCACCACGCTGTGGTACCACGACCACGCCGTCGGCCTCACACACCTCAACGTCGCTGCCGGCCTCGCCGACTTCTTCCTCCTCACCGACCTGCTCGGCGTCGAGAGGGCCCTCGCCTGGCTGCCCCGGGGGGAGTTTGAAGTGCCGCTGGCCCTGGCGGACCGGCGCTTCTTCCCCAACGGGTCCATTGACTGCCCGCGGCAGGGCATGGTGCCGCGAGTGCACGCGCACTGGGTGCCGGAGTACATCGGTGACACCATCCTCGTCACCGGCAAGGTGCTGCTGCCCCCAATACTCCTCCCACGCCTCCCTCGCTCAATTCTCTTTTCTCCCGCCTTCTGTTCCTTTCGTCGCACTGAAGGTGCTGCCTGCCCCTGTCTTCCTCCCGCCTCATCTTCCCACTCTTCCTTTTCCCTGCGCTCTCCCCCCCCCTGGGGCATGCGTGGCAGGTGTGGCGGTATCTGAGCGTGAAGAGGGCGCTGTACCGCTTCCGGGTGCTGGGGGTGGCCAACGCACGCTTCTTCAATCTGCGCTTTGTCTGTGCCACCTCGCGCAACTACACCAACTTCACTCCGCCTTTCACCGGGGACCAGTTGCCCATCACCGTGGTGCGTCTGCACAACTCGTTCTCATTCAACTGCACCACTCCGCACCCCTCCACCAACCCCTGCACCTCACCGACTCCTTCCCTTGGTGCACCTCCCCTCCGTCAGATCGGGTCGGACGGGGGCTACCTGCCACGGCCGGCAGTGCGCACAGCACTGGTGGTGGCGCCGGCGGAGCGGTACGACATCCTCGTTGACTTCTCCAACCTGCGCTCCTCCTGTGCTGACGTCATCCTCACCAACGACGCCCCGGCGCCCTTCCCTGGGGCCGACCTCGTGAGCAACAACACGGCTGTTGTCATGCGCTTCATTGTTGACCAACGACACGGCTGTTGTCATGCGCTTCATTGTTGACCAACGACACGGCTGTTGTCATGCGCTTCATTGTTGACCAACGACACGGCTGTTGTCATGCGCTTCATTGTTGACCAACGACACGGCTGTTGTCATGCGCTTCATTGTTGACCAACGACACGGCTGCTGTCATGCGCTTCATTGTTGACCAACGACACGGCTGCTGTCATGCGCTTCATTGTTGACCAACGACACGGCTGCTGTCATGCGCTTCATTGTTGACCAACGACACGGCTGCTGTCATGCGCTTCATTGTTGACCAACGACACGGCTGCTGTCATGCGCTTCATTGTTGACCAACGACACGGCTGTTGTCATGCGCTTCATTGTTGACCAACGACACGGCTGCTGTCATGCGCTTCATTGTTGACCAACGACACGGCTGCTGTCATGCGCTTCATTGTTGACCAACGACACGGCTGTTGTCATGCGCTTCATTGTTGACCAACGACACGGCTGCTGTCATGCGCTTCATTAATGACCAACGACACGGCTGCTGTCATGCGCTTCATTGTTGACCAACGACACGGCTGCTGTCATGCGCTTCATTGTTGACCAACGACACGGCTGTTGTCATGCGCTTCATTGTTGACCAACGACACGGCTGTTGTCATGCGCTTCATTGTTGACCAACGACACGGCTGTTGTCATGCGCTTCATTGTTGACCAACGACACGGCTGCTGTCATGCGCTTCATTGTTGACCAACGACACGGCTATTGTCATGCGCTTCATTGTTGACCATGAGAGACCCCGCCTGCCCGCCCCGCCCATTCCCAAGACCCTCATGGTGAGTGCTTGGCTTTGGCTGGACACTCTCGTTCCCTGCGCCCCTCATCGCATTCTCTCTCCATCTCTTCCCGCCCGCTCACAGTCCTGTGCGCCCCTCACAGTCGTCATCACTTGTCGTTCCGTGTGCGTGTGTCCTCCCGCTGCAGGCGGTGCCCCCCATGGACTTGTCGCAGGTGGTGCTGGAGCGGTGGATCACAGCCGTTGAAGAGTCCGACCGCGCCACCGGCAATCCCATCCGCCTCACATTCGACCACAAGATGTACTCCCACCCGCCCACTGAGACACCCCGCGTGGTGAGCCGCTCAACTCTGCCTGTGACTTAGGCAAAAGGCCATGCTTGAGTGACAGTCCAGTAGCCAAGCCCGCTGTCACTGGTTTCACTGGCATGTGGTGTGTGTTTTTCGCAGAACTCAGACGAGCTGTGGCATGTGATCAACCTCACGCCCGACGCGCACCCCATCCACCTGCACCTCATTCAGCACCGCCCCGCCTCGCGCCGCCCCTTCGACCTCGCCGCCTACAACAGTGGCGCCTGCTCCTTCACCAATGCCTTGCTGCCCTCGTGCTTCAGTGCCGCCCAGCAGCCAGTGGTGGTGTATGAGCGCGGGTGGAAGGACACCACCATCCTGCCGCCCGGCCATGTGCTCACCCTCTGGACGCCCTGGTACTCCCAGGTGAGCCAACCCCTCCCTGGTATTTTAGGCAAGTCCCGTTCTTTCCAGGTACTCCCAGGTGAGACAGCCCACACGCTCCCATCTTCATAGCATAGTTTATGATGGTGTGCTGCTGTGCATTGACTGAGTGGCTGCCGTGGTGTGTTTTCCGTGGTGCAGGATGGCACGCCCTTCCCCTTTGACGCCACACGTGGCCCGGGGTATGTGTGGCACTGCCACATCGTGGAGCACGAGGAAAACATGATGATGCGCCCCCTCATCGTCACCCAGTGATGCGCCCCAGTGTGCCCTCTCAAATGGCATCATTTCCCTGCTGTGTCCACTCGGTGATACGGTACCTCCTCCATGCTCTCATCCTTAGTGTGCAATAAGAGCGTGGCTATCGCGCTCGTTCTGCATGGTGCAGCAATGTGTAAATAGTTCGTGCTCCTTTTTGTACCTGGACACAATACTATGCATTACCGTATGGCCCCGGATAAAAGCGCATATGCGCTTATAATAAGTTAATTTTTTTCAGGGGTGGCGCTTGTAATTGAGGAACGGCCATAAGCGCCGGCGCTTATATAATGACAATACAATTTTTAACTTAAAGGTACCAAACTGTACCTTTCGTTGTAGCAGTTTCAAACGAGTCGAACTATTATAGCGTCACAAAGCAGAATCGCGGGCAAGCGATTCTGCTTCCTGTACACGGGCAAATTCGCGTCACTTTGCAGGCATGCCAGCACATCCTGACTGGACGCGCAACCAGTCAGGTCTTCGCGAGTCAAACAAAGCGAAAATGAAATTTGACTCGCTGCAAAACTGAAATTCGTTACCGATTTAAACTGATATTTAAATAAAAACGCACGGGGCGCTTATAATAAGTAATGGTTTTCCAGGGGGGGCGCTTATAATCGAGGATCGGCCATAAGCGCCATGCTCCAGATAGAAGCGCCGGCGGCTGTAATAGGCCGGCGCCTATATCCGGGGCCATACGGTACCTTGTTTCCACGTATAAAAGCGTATTTCAATGAGAGAATGAATGACTAGAAGCGAACATGTTTGCAATCCAAGCCCTTCGAATTATTTCAGGGCTGTTATGGGGTAGTTTATTGTTCTAGGGTGGTTTACCCTAAACAGTGCCCCCAACCTAATCCCAACCTTAACTTCATTCAATCCCTTGGGATCTCCTAACCCTGTGCCACGTGGCACTCTGGTTTTCGATTCTTAGTCCCACGAACGAACCGCTTTCCAACATTCGCCGTTGCATGCCGCATCAACCTTGCTTGTATCTGTCAATATCAACAGATTCTCATTCAACTTTACTCAGTAACTTCTTCGCCTATTTCGCAATACTTCCTTCGCCAATGCCTTCCGCCGCGTTTCATCCTCGACTTAGTTGACCTCGCTAATCTTAAGCGGATTTAGGCCAAGGGGCCTAACACTTGGTATCAAGAGCTTTCGCGGGGAGAGACCGTCGACGACGATACTGCGATGTCATCGTCCCGCGGTGCCGACTTGTACGGTAGATTTGGAGTCGTCGAGCCGACAGGGACGAAACCATGAACACTCTTCTCCACGACATGGGCAACACGCTTGCTGAACCCATGCGTCAACTTGAACACTCGACGTTGGAAACTTGTCAGGTACGAGCCGGAATGCGACAGTTGTGTGATTTGGCTTCTAATCCTCTTGGTCATGCCGCACTATCTCCTGCACCCAATACGTCAACTGGCGCGGAAATGCTGCTGAAAAGTCGAAGCGCGCTAAAGCTACAGAAACCCAAGCCGTTCGACCCAAGCCAACGCGACGCAAACGTGCGGACGTGGATCTCATGCTGAACAACTACTTCGCCGTGACTAGGGTGCAAGAGGCGGATGCGCAGCAACGGATTGAGTACTCCGTAACGCTGATGAGGGGCCCGGCCTTGGAGTGGTGGTGCCAACTCAGGCAAACTGCTGTAAGGAGAGCTTAGTTAGACGGGCATCAACAGGGCTAGGGGCATGCAGTTGCAACGTCGATCTTAGGGAGTCTAGCTTTGGGTGTTACCACTGTTCCAACGACATGGGAAGGATTTGAGGTGGTGCTTTAAGGTATATTCGACTTGGTGAATGCCTCCAAAGTTGCTAGGAAGCGTCTGCATCACTTCCGACATATAGAAAACGTCCAGAAGTACACACGACGGTTCTTGAACATCTGCAACAAGATAGTCGACATCACCAAAGCGGAGATGCGCGATCGTTACCGCGGAGGGTTAAAGTCAGATATAGCAGAGATTACCGCGATTCACGGATTGTCCACCTTCTAGTCAATTGTCACAGTAGTAGAACGCGTGGACGCAGTACAAAGCCGACTGGGTCGTGACGATCGCGATAGGGGATACAACAAACCGATCAACGATTCTCGCTCGAGGGATGGACCCTCGCCCATCGAGATTGGTGGAGTTAACAGTGAAGACTCACAGAAGACGAGTTTTAGAGGGAATTGTCACTACTGCAAAAAGCCGGGACACATGAAGTGGGACTGCCCACTGCTTAAGGAGCGGCAGCAAGGAAGCGGAAGCCGCCAGTAGATGGAGGGTCACTAGCTCGTGTGGAGGCTTCCAAACCCGCCAAGTCTACCAACGTAGAGGAGACGCCCTTAGCGCAGTCATCTACGTCGAACGAGGTAGATGCTGTTGATCACCCAGTCGTGCTTCTAGGGAAGCTTCGTGGATCACCGGTCAAGATTCTTGTAGATATCGGAGCTAGCCATTCATTTTTCTCATCTTCGCTATAGGGAAGCTTCGTGGAGCACCGGTCAAGATTCTCGTAGATGTCGGAGCTAGCCACTCATTTTTCTCATCTTCACTAGTTTGTCGCCTCCATCTCAAAGTAGATTCGGCAGTCAACTTCAAGGACGCTCGAATGGTAGACGGGACACCTCTCCACAAAGGACCAGTCATTTGCAAGTTGCGTGTAGTGCTAGGACCGATCACAATTAGGCGTGATTTCGACTATGCGATGCTGTACGACTACGATTTCAACTTCACTAAGGGTTGGCTACGGACGGTTAGCACTCAGTTCATTGGGCTTAGGGAAGCTGCAGCGTCAAGGTAGACGGGGAGTTCTGGGAGCTGCTGTCAGTAGATCTGCACTGTGGATGCCCGATTGATCCTGGAGAGGGTTACAGGCGCGTTCGCCTGGCAGGTTATGGGCGCACTTACCCGCTACACAATCAAGCCCTTTTATCCCAATGGTCTAGTGGTTGGGATTCTGACATGGTATCAGAGCGGTCTCGGGTTCGATTCCCGGTATATGCACATGTAGGCCGTTGCCACTGTGCTTAAACCTGGGCCTCCCAGTGTGGGGGGGTGTCAATAGATCTGCACTGTGGATGCCCGATTGATCCTGGAGAGGGTTACAGGCGCGTTCGCCTGGGGGGTTATGGGCACACTTACCCGCTACACAAACAAGCCCTTTTATCTCAATGGTCTAGTGGTTGGGATTCTGACAACTGCCACATTGGAGCGATGGAGCCATGTCATCCACAGCTATCATCAATGATGTTCGTGTGCGGTAGTTGATGAATCATGCGGCACTGATCTTTGCGGTTTCCCTTGTAGGGGTGAAAGCTGAGGAGGGGAAAGGAGAGAGCGCATTAGTTGTCAAGTCAGCGCCTCTTCCTACGAGTTCTTAGGGTCGTTCGTTGTAGTTTACCTAGACAACATCCTTGTCTTCTCCAAGACAAAGAGGAGCATGGGAAGCACTTGCAGAAGTTTCTGAGGTCTTGCGGATGGAGCAAATGAAGTAGTCGGTTCGGTTTTCACCGACACTGTCGTACCTGAATCCTACTCGCCCATAAATGGTTTCAGAGTAGGTCCTGTCCCATGACCGTTTTTTTAGGGCCCACCGTGTAGTTCGCTGCCCGTAGCACATTACCCTGCCCGTAGCGCCCTACCCTGTCTATCGCGCTACCCCACCCGTTGCGCCGCCCTGCTGGCCTTGCGCTGCCCTGCCCTGCCCGCGCGCCGCCCTACTGGCCGCGCGCTGCTCTACCCTGCCCGTTGCACCGCCCTGCTAGCGCCGCGCCGCCCTGCCCTGCCCCGCGTCTCGCCGCCCACGCGCGCCTTGCCTTGTGTCGCGCCGCCCTGCGCGCGCCCTGCCCTTCGTCACGCCGCCCGCGCGCGTCTAGCCCTGCCCCGCGTCGCGCCGCCCTGCGCATGCCCTGCCCTACGTCATGCTGCCCGCGCGCACCTGGCTCTGCCCTGCGTCGCGCCGCCCCGCGCACGCCCTGCCCTGCCCTGCGTTGCGCTGCCCCTCGCGTGCTCTGTCCTGCGTCGCGCCGACCGCGCACGCCCTGCCCTGCCCGCGTGCCGCCCTGCAGGCCGCGCGCTCCCCTGCTGCACGCTGCGTCGCCCTGCCCTGCCTGCGCACCGCACGGCCCTGCTCTGCCTGTGCGCCGCCCTCTTGGCCGCCGCCCTGCCCTGCCCTGCCCCCGCCCCGCCCTGCCTGTGCGCGTCCGTAGCGCTTGAACGCAGCCCTGCCCGTCGCGCCGTCCTTGCTTGCATGCTACCCTGCTGCTCGCGCGCCACCCTGCTCTGCCCTCTATGGCCACTCTCAGCGTCCTCACATTCAATCCAGAGGGCCGTCCGATTCAATTCGATACGTGGCTCGATGAACATCAGCTGTTCCTACTGGTGAGGATCGAGGATCGAGCGCACAAAAGAGAGTTTGACTTGAATGATCCACCTCGGTACAACACGCGGCTATATATAGCCTCGACACAAGGCCAGTTACCCAGGTGTTGCGCGAATGTTCTGAGGGTCGCGAAGCGTCCCAAACAGAACCTTCCCGAACTCAATAGAAAGCAATTCGGTGGAAACCGAATAGGCTTGAGTTCGGTACACGTAACCTGGTTCGGTGCTATATATATAATAAAATATGAGAATGCACCCAACCTAGGAAATCAAGCATATCTATGCATGATAAAATAAACCCAAGCTAGATATAGCATAATAAAGTCCAGGCAAGCTAGCTGCTTCTGGGAGGTCTGTATCGTGGTGAGTCGTCGGCGAGTCTTCTCCCATAGCTGCTGCATGGTGGTGACGAAGTCATGTGCGACTTGGACGTGAGCCGGTGTGGTTGGCTCCTGTGGTGTGAGTGGTTCCCGTCCGTAACACAGGAAGAAAGGAGTTTTCCCTGTGGCCGCTTGTGACGCGTTGTTGTAAGCAAACTTTAGGGTCGGTAACTGTGTATCGCAGTGGCTGACGTCGTCTTGGCAAGCTGTGCGCAGTAACTGTTCAACCACCTGATTGAGTCGCTCCGTCGGTCTGCCAGTCTGTGGGTGGTATGCTGAGGACATCGCAAGTTTGGTCCCCAATAATCCCATGAACTCCTTCTAGAACATATTGGTAAATTTCGGGTCTCGGTCTGAGATGAGTGTAACGGGGATGCCGTGGATGGTGATGATGCGGTTGAAGAAGAGGCGAGCAGCTGCTTCAGCTGTAGCTGTGGCGTTGGTCGGTATGAAGTGACCCATTTTGGAGAACTTATCGATGACTACGAGGATGGAATCGTACCCCCGTGAGGTCGAAGGAAGTCCTGTGATAAAGTCGAGGCTAACGACCTGCCATGGCTGCTCCGGTACGGGTAGAGGCTGAAGTAACCCTGCTTTTTTCTGCTTGCTACTCTCCATCCGCTGGCACGTGTCGCAAGAGGTGACGAACTGCTGCACGTCTGCTGCCATCCTGGGAAATTAGTAATACTCCGCTATTCCCGCTAACGCCTAGTTTCTCTCGAAGTGTCCCGCGTAAGGTACGTCGTGAAACTCCTCCAATAGGATCTGCTGTAACGGGGCGTAATTCGGTACCCAAATCTTTCCTAAGCCATTCCTTACTGCTGAGTCTTTCTCCCACTGTAACAGCTTCTTAGTCTGTGCTGTAGCAATCTTTGCGTCCACGGAGTACCCATGTTGGAATAGACCCTTGAGCAGAGGGTTCATCCCGTCGAGCTGGATGCCTGCTACATGTCCGGGGCGGCTCAACGCGTCTGCCTTGTGTAGCCCGGGTCTGTAGACGATGTCGTAGTGGAAGTGAGTTCCCAGGAAGTCCACCCTCTGCACTTGTCGTCGTGAGAGCGTCGGCTGCGACTTCAGGTATTTGAGGCTGCAGTGGTCAGTATAAACTGTGGTCTTGGCTCCCTCTAGGTAACACCTCCACGCCTTGAAGGCTATGACTATCACTAAGGCTTCCTTCTTATGGATGGGGTGGTTCATTTTTGCTCCGTGTAGCTTCTTACTGAGGTAGGCGATGGGCTGCAAACCGCGTCCATGATCCTGCATCAGTACTGCTCCGACTGCTTGGTCACTAGCGCCTGCTTCCACCACGTAGTCCTTGTCTGGGCCAGGTAAGATGAGTACTGGCGCTGTAGTCAGTGTTGTTTGTAGCTGCTCCGTGGCTTGCTGATGAGGAGTATCCCATTTGTAGGGCGTTTCCTCTTTCAGTAGATCAGTCAGTGGCGCTGCTATCGTAGCGTATTGCGGTACGAACCTGTTGTAGTAGTTGGCCAAGCCTAGGAACTGTTGCAACTCCTTCACGTTCTCCGGAACTTTCCACTTCTTGACGGCTTTGATTTTCCGCGGGTCCATGTGTATGCCCTCGGAACTCACCATGTGCCCTAGAAATTGCACCTTCTTTAGGGCGAAGTGGCTCTCCGACAGCTTCACGTAAAACTTGTTTATCTGCAGGATCTCGAACACGTGCTCCTTCATGTTCTTGGAGTAGATAAGAATGTCGTCTAGGTACACCACTACGCACTCGTCCAGCAGGGGCCGTAAGATGTAATTCATCTCCTCCTGAAACGTTGCTGGTGCGTTGCTGAGTCCAAACGGCATCACCAAGTATTCGTAGGAGCCGTATCTCATACGGAACGCCGTCTTGTGGACCAAGTTGTCTGCCATCTTAATCTTCCTGTAACCCGACCATAGGTCCAGCTTCGAGATTACTGTTGCTCCACGCAATTGATCCAGTAGGTCGTCTATGTGCGGTATGGGATATTTGTTCTTGACTGTGTGTTTGTTCGGTGCGCGGTAGTCGATGCACATCCGTAAACTGCCATCTGGTTTTGGAGTGAAGGGAACTGGTGCACATGGGCGGATCAGTTGTCTGTCCAGTAGATACTATATATGTTTCTTCATGTCGGTCATTTTGGTCGGACTCAGTTGGTATGGTGCACGTGAGACGGGTTTCGCACCTGGTTCCTCCACGATCTTGTGCTCGTGGGTGCGTGCTGGAGTTACGCCTGCAGGTAGGTCGTCGGGCATTAGATCCTTGTACTGCTCCAAGACCTCCTTCACTGCTGCAGGTAGCTCTGTGTTCGGCTTCTCCTCCTCTGCTGCTGCCATAACCAGTGCTTAGTAACCCGTGTTACTCTCGTTCACCGTCTATTCGAACCGTGCCAGTGTTGATTTAGGAACGTTTCCTGTATCTGTCCAGCTTCATAGTGCTATCTGCTTCCCGTTGTTGTAGATGTACGCCTTCCTGTTGACCCAGTCGATCTCGGGGTTGAACCGCTTCAGGAAATCTCGCCCCAAGATGAAATCTAGGCCTTTGATATTCGTGATCGGCAACATCGGCTTCCACCTCAGCGCCCCAATATGCAGTTGCAGTGATGCTTCGCCGTGGATGGGAAGTTTCGTACCGTCCACCATCGTTGCCGCGAACTTGGTCTCCTCGGATGGCTCCCCAATTTTCTCCAACGTCCCGCAGTCGTCACACACTGAGTGAGATGCACCGTTGTCCACCAGAGCCTGGAGTCGTCATCCTTTGCATAAAACCTCCAAGAGTAGTGGTTCCTGCTGTGCTGAGTAGCCAAAGAGAGTCTCACTAATAGGATCATAGGGTACATCAAAGATATTACCTATTTCCTATATCTGACTCAACACTTTCCAACTTCACCTGGGGGGTAGTAGGATTTTTCCGAGGCTTGTACAGCTTCTCATGAGCCTGGATTTTTTCTCTAAGCCTTTGCAGCTGTGTAGGCTTCACTTGTGGGCAACGGGGAGCCTTTAGCACTGGGCTGCGAGGAGAGAGTATTAACTCCACGGAACGCACGACCCTTTTCTACGCTCCGTAGTACTTTGCCCAACTTCTCAGATACCTGAATAATCTCTTAAGGCTTTTTCTTGGCCTCTAAATCTCCCTTGACTTTTTCAAAAGCTTGAAAACCACGAGAAGCAATATTTTTCGTTAGAGTATCTTTATAGGAGACTTATAACGAATTCTTTCTTTTCTGGGTGTTCGGCTGGAGTTTCCCGGTCGGTGCAGAGTCTTTTTCGCGGAGCCTCCATTTGCCTCGGCGATTTCCCCTGATGCCGGCCGGTCGTGACGTTTTATATTCGCGCCATCATTTTCTCCTTTTTTCACCCGCTCCGAAGTCGCCACATCGTCGCCCTTTTCTGCTTTTCAGATCTTTACGCGATCGCCAGGTCAATCCGCGGCTACTGGCGATTCCCGTTTTTTTACTTCGGGGGTGCTCCACTGTTGCCACCCAGCAGCGCCGCAAGTGCCTTCTTCAATTTGTAGCAAGACAAAATTTGATGCCCCGCTGCGCCGCAAAAATTGCATTTTGTCGGTTGCTGCGTCGCGTAAAATTTGTCTATATCGATTGTTAGAATATATCTCTAACTGCCTGTAGCTGTAGTTAGTGTAGTTATTGCTTCATTGTTGGTGGTGCACCTCTTGTTCTTGTTCTCTCAATTATATGTTCCTTGTTTGCTATAGTGAACCACTCTTTTCTCCTTACCAACTCTCTCGACCTTCTGGCCTAGGCTTCTAAGCCTAGGCCCTAATACTCCTTCTCTCAACATGGTATTCAGAGCAGGTACCTTCCTGCTACCTTCCTAACGGGCCCACCAATTTGCTTCCGCTGCCTATTGTCCAGGCGCGCGGCGTATTTTTCTCGCCGCGCGCCCAGGGCGCACGGCGTCTTCCTGCCCCGCGCGCGGCCTGCCTTCACGCCGCCTGCACGCCTGCCTCACGTCCACGGGCGGGCCTGTTTTGCCTGCCCGTACCCTCCACTTCGCAGCGCCCTTCGAGGCGCCGCTCCTGCTCGTCGCGACGCCCCTGCAGGACCCGCGCGGCGTCGCCCCGCTCGTCGCGACGCCCCTGCGGGACCCGCGGGGCGTCGCCACTGCTCGTCGCGGCGCCCCCTGGACGCCGCCTGTGCTCGTGACGGCGCCCCTGGGGCGTCGCCCTTGCTCGTCGCGGCGCCCCTTGGGCGCCGTCCCTGCTCGTCGCGGCGCCCTCCCCCCTGGCCACCGCCTCTGCCTCACCTGCGCTCGCGCTAGCTTTGCAGCCGCGCACGGGCCTGCCATGCACCAGCGCCGCCCCTGGAGCAGCTGCCCCTGGACCCTGGACCAGCCGCCGCCGCCCCCGGAACAGCCGCCCTTGGACCCAGAGCAGCCGCCCCTGGCCCCTGGAGCAGCCGCCCCCGGTGCAGCCGCCCCTGGACCTCCGCAGCCGCCCTTGGCCCCTGGTGCAGCCGCCCCTGTTGCAGCCGCCCCTGGACCCAGAGCACCCGCCCCTGGCCCCTGGAGCAGCTGCCCCTGGTGAAGCCGCCCCTGGACCTCAGCAGCCGCCCCTGGACCCCGCGGCTCCGACCCTGCAGCAGCCCGTAATGCCGCCCCAGGGACCCCGCGAGCCGCCCCAGCTGCAGCCCACGGCGCCGACCCTGCAGCTGCATGCGCCGCTGCTCTTGGACTCGGTACGGCTGCCACCCTGTGCTGCTTGTTGCTGCCCGTGCCTGTGCTGCCTGTTGCCGCCCGTTGCTGCCCGTGCCTGTGCTGCCCGTGCCGCCCGTTGCTGCCCGTGCCTGTGCTGCCCGTTGCCGCCCGTTGCTGCCCGTGCCTATGCTGCCTGTTGCCGCCCGTTGGTGCCCGTGCCTGTGCTGCCTGTTGCCGCCCGTTGCTGCCCGTGCCTGTGCTGCCCGTTGCCGCCCGTTGCTGCCCGTGCCTGTGCTGCCTGTTGCCGCCCGTTGCTGCCTGTGCCTGTGCTGCCCGTTGCTGCCTGTTGCTGCCCGTGCCTGTGCTGCCCGTTGCCGCCCGTTGCTGCCCGTGCCTGTGCTGCCTGTTGCCGCCCGTTGCTGCCCGTGCCTGTGCTGCCCGTTGCCGCCCGTTGCTGCCCGTGCCTGTGCTGCCCGTTACCGCCCGTTGCTGCCCGTGCCTGTGCTGCCTGTTGCCGCCCGTTGCTGCCCGTGCCTGTGCTGCCCGTTGCCGCCCGTTGCTGCCCGTGCCTGTGCTGCCTGTTGCCGCCCGTTGCTGCCTGTGCCTGTGCTGCCCATTGCTGCCTGTTGCTGCCCGTGCCTGTGCTGCCCGTTGCCGCCCGTTGCTGCCTGTGCCTGTGCTGCCCGTTGCCGCCCGTTGCTGCCTGTGCCTGTGCTGCCCGTTGCCGCCCTTTGCTGCCCGTGCCTGTGCTGCCCGTTGCCGCCCGTTGCTGCCCGTGCCTGTGCTGCCCGTTGCCGCCCGTTGCTGCCCGTGCCTGTGCTGCCCGTTGCCGCCCGTTGCTGCCCGTGCCTGTGCTTCCCGTCGCCCCTTGTTGCTGCCCGTGCTGCCCGTTGCCGCCTGTTGCTGCCCCTGCTCTGCTCCGCGCTGTTGCCCTGCATGCGCGGCTGCCCTGCCCTGCTCCGCGCTGTTGCCCTGCACGCGCGGCTGCCCTGCCCTGCTCCGCGCTGTTGCCTTGCATGCGTGGCTGCCCTGCTCTGCTCCGCGCTGTTGCCCTGCACGCGCGGCTGCCCTGCCCTGCTCCGCGCTGTTGCCCTGCACGCGCGGCTGCCCTGCCCATGCCTATGCTGCCCCTGCTCTTCCCCCTCCCCCTTCTTTGTCTCCCTGCTGCGCGTGCAGCCGTGGAACGGAGGCTATGGGGGTGACGGGTATGGGGGTGATGGGTCTGTGTGATCCCCTTCCCCTCCTTCTCCTTTCTCTCCCACTGCTGCAGCTGCCGCTGGGGGGGGGGGGGGGGTGGGTGTGAGGGTGTGGAGGAGGTGGGGGAGAGGTGCTAGGGTTGTCGAGGAGTGTGGAAGGGGGATTTGGAGGACTAGGGAAGGTTCCAAAAAGCAGCTGCCTCGGAGCCAGCAGCTTCACCTGCCAGCAGCTTCTCCTCATATAGTCCCTCCTCCTCCCGACTCCATCTCTAGTTCTGCCTCTTGCCTCTGTTTGTTGTTATTTGGCTTTACTCTGCTTGGTGTACCCATTCATGAGGTGTTGCTGCACAGACTCCTGCTGCAGGCAGTTATGGGGGAGTGTTAGAATATATCTCTAACTGCCTGTAGCTGTAGTTAGTGTAGTTATTGCTTCATTGTTGGTGGTACACCTCTTGTTCTTGTTCTCTCACTTATATGTTCCTTGTTTGCTATAGTGAATCACTCTTTTCTCCTTACCAACTCTCTCAACCTTCTGGCCTAGGCTACTAAGCCTAGGCCCTAATACTCCTTCTCTCAACATCTATCGGTTCGGCGAACGTGGGGGGTGCCGATCGCTCGGTGTCGAATGTACGGTTCGGCCCGTAACGTCATGTTTTGAGTTGACCACGAGTCAAAGCGTCGTATCGTTCGGCAGCACGCACGATGTCGCGGTAGTTATTGTAGTTCGCTGCGATAACCTGTCGGCGAATCTCTAATTTTAACCCTTCTGTGTACGCCTGGATTTTTTCGCCCTCGGTCAGGTCATTGATGCGGTTGAATAGTTGCTCCATCTGCTGCGTGCACTATGCTACACTCCAGTATTGCTTAAGTCGGTGTTACCGCTCCACATGCCGCGCCATGTATGTTGTATTAATTGGCTCAAAACGTTCTATGAGGTCTGCCTGAAACTTCGCCCACGTTTTCTCCCCGCGGGCCACGTCAGTGTAATAACTCCATTCGAGTGCTGGTCCCCGTAACATTGTCGCTGCGAGCCGAAATCGTGCTGCGTCGTGTGTCGGGGTCGAACAGCCAATGGCCTCGAAGTAAATTTCGAGGGTCGCCACGAATCGTCAAATGTCAGATTCTTTCGCGCTGGGATCGAACGCTTCAGGGAGCCTCGAGCGAGCTGCTTTGAGGATCGGCGAAGGTGGTGCCATCAGTCCGTGAAATGTCGGTGTCACTACCGCTGCTACTGCTGTCGCTGCTACGTTCGCTGCTGCATTGAGTGCTGCGGTGGCGGCTGCGGATTGGTTTGTCACAAGAGCCTCAAGTCACCGAATCGCCGCCTGCGTCTGTTCTATGTCGGTGCGAAGGCTGGCGATGTCGCTCGTCGTCGCGTAGTTGTCGCCTTGACCCTCCATGACTGACCTTGCGCGTTTGAAAAAAACCAAAACGAGGAGGAACGAAAAACACGGAACCGCAACCACAGAGATGAATGAACTAGCAGCATGATGGGTACAAGTAGGAAACCCTAATTTGTGTTGTACCCCATATGGGCTACCCCATTACAACCCACACAACTCGCAGCATATATAGTTTGACACACCCCCATAAGCAAAGTGGGGGAGAACAAGAGGTCACAAGATCAGTCAAGAAAGGCTACGCAAGCTTAGGGTGGATCACTAAGTCACCACGCATTCTGAGCACAAGCAAATGGCCACAAGGCCAGTTCACATGCAGAGTTATATATAAAGGAGAACAAACAGTACAGTGATCACAACCTAGCATGTGTAAGCATGCAGGAATAAGTATATAGATCACAGTACAAGCAAAGTCAAGAAGTGAGCAAGTGAGGCCAGGTAGGCACAAGACCTAGAACAGTACAGAAACGCTGATGATCACAAGGCTGAAGTGCTATGGTGAAGATATCAGCCTTGTTGGCCCAAGAGGCCACGTAAGTAAGACGAAGCTGACCACGCTGCTGCAACTCTCAAGCAAGGAAGTCACACAGAGCGATGTGCTTCGTCCTGTGCTCCAGTCTGTGCTCCTGACACAAGGCAATCATGGCCTTGTTGTCGACGTACAGAACTGGAGGAGTACGAGGCGGCTCTCCCATGTCGGTCAGCAGGTAGGTGAGCCAGCGTAGCTCCTGTGCAGCCATGGCCCCAGCGTAGATCTCAGCCTCACAGCTGGAGCTGAGAACACAAAACGAGCGGGTAGACCGCCTCGAAACAGAGCCGGAACCAAGGCTGAAGGTGTAACCCTGTGACAACCGCTGAGTAGCAAAGTCGTCAAACCAAGAAGCGTCTGCATGACCAGTGAGGAAAACTCGACTCCGTCCTCCAAGCACATGCCTCATACCCAACGTACTGCACAAGTAGCGCATCACCCTCTTAGCGGCCTTCCAGTGCTCTGGTCAGTGTCTCCCGGACGCAACATAGCGTGCCAGGATGCTAATTGGGTAAGCAAGATCAGGTCGAGTGCAGGTCATCAGGTACATGAGGCAGCCCACAAGCTTTGGATACGGGCCACTCGACTCTACGGACTCATCCGAAGGCAGAGCTGAGAGCGAGTGACCAGTAGGCAGAGGAGTGGCCTATGGCAAGGAGTACTGGAAGTCGAAGTGCTGAAAGACCTGCTGCACCATGTGTGACTGAGTCAAGGTAATGGTGTGCCGTGCTTTGTCCCGGGTGATCTGCAAGCCAAGATAGCTGCATAGCTCACCTAGGTCTGTGCACGTGTGTCTCTTCTGCAGCCCGGACTTCACTAGAGTCAGTGCCTCAGTGTCGGCAGTGGCAAAAACCAAGTCGTCAACGTACACGAGGATGTAGAACGGCGGCAGCGAAGTGTCGGTGCGTAGAAACAGCGACGGGTCAGCAGTAGAGGGAGCAAAGCTAAGAGCCGCAAAGGGTCGTCCTCAGTGTGTCGTGCCACTTGCAAGGCGCCTGGCGGAGACCGTAGACTGGCCAGCGGAGGCTCCACTGGGTACCAGGAGGGAACGACCCAGTGAAGCCAGGTGGGCGGCGCAGCCAGATCTCCTCGTGCAGGCTGCCCTGTAGGAAAGCAGTGCTAAAGTCAAGAGAGTGAAGCTCGTAGTCACCCTAAGCGGCGACGGACAGCAGCACTCGAAGAGTGGTCATCTTCGGGGTAGGGGAGAAGGTATGGAAGAAGTCAACTCCCTGTTGCTGACTGAAGCCTCGTGCAACATAACGCGCCTTGAAGACTGGCGGAGAACGTGGCGGCCGCTTCACCCTGAAAATCCACATGCAACTGACGATGTTCGCCCCAGGTGGGGGAACCTCGTCGACGTATGTGCCTGTGGACTTCCAGGATGCCATCTCTGCGTCCATGGCTGACTGCCACTAAGAGGAGTAGGGACCCTCTATCTTCTCTGCGTAATAGCGCGGGGTCGGGATGTCTGGTGCATCCGGGTCTCCCTCAGGTGCAATTTGTTGGTGTAAGGGCCTAATAAACTCAAGCTATTAAGACTTTATCACACTTAAAACCTCTCCTCGGGGTCACCTCCAAGGGTCCTTGGGTGCCTGGTACAAGACCAGCCCCTATCCTCGGGTCCGAGTTTGTAGAGAGAGGGATCAAGAGGGACTTAGTCAAAACAGCAAGAGTACCTTGAACGTCGCGCAGCGTATCGTGCAGACCGTCGACCGGATTAAGCTGAGAATTTCCTATATCGAAGCTCACTCTAAGAGCTTTAAAATAAGCCAAGTTGCCTCGCGAAAAGTTCTGCCATTACGAAGTTATGGCTCGGACAGCGTTAGCCTAGCGTTGGAGTGCTAGCGTACTAGCGTTGACTCGGGTAGCATTCCGCCGTCGCACCGCGTAGACAAGAAATTCCAGCAAGGAAGGAATTCGCTTGAATCAATTTCACTATATTCAGGTACAAACAGAGAAGGAATAAATAGCTCTAGCTAGCAAGGACCTTGGGAATCAACCTGGGAACAACCAGGGATGATCCCAAATAATTCCAAGCAACAGAACCAACCTGGCTGGACAAAATAGCAGGTGATAGGTTGGTGAACAACCTCTGGTTCTGTTTTTCCAACCTGGGAAAACAACAACCAGGTTCAGGTCCTAAAAACAGAACCTGTTTTGTCTTTGCCCAACCAGCCAAATGCTGGTTCCGCTGGTTTCCCCTGGCCCTGTAGCATGCAGATACAGACAAACAACATCCAACCTTCACCTAAATTGTACCGCTATAGTGCCTGCCCTGCTACACTATAGTCAACCAAACAAAACAGTACAATTTCGAGTTGGATAGAACTGAATCTGCGCAATCAAGTAAGTTGAACCGCAAAGCTTCCATCTTGGGTTCCTTTGCGAGCTCGTCCTTTCTGCTTGTACTGTTCATAGCGCGTACAATGTTATGCCGAAGCGCACATTGTGCGAGTACCTGCAAATGCTTCAAGCGAAAATTGCGAAAGCAAACAAACACACAAACATACCATTCACACGCAAATGCATTCGCACACGCATACTCGTACAAACAAACGGCAGGATGTCGTGCAATGTGAATTTGCACCCAACACACTCCCCCTCAGCCTGCCGGCTGCATCCCCATCATTCCATACTAGTTCATGCTCATTCCACTCATGCGCACACAACGCCAATGAGACTCATCCGCAAGCCTCTTGGTGAGGAAGTCTGCTGGCTGCTGGTGAGTCTTGATGTAGATCGGATTCACCGTCCCCCTCTTCACCTCCTTACGCAGCCAGTGCCACTTGATACGCATGTGCTTGTTCAGCCCATGAAGCACAGCGTTCCTGGCCATCCCAAGAGCTCCCTTGCTATCACAAAACAGCGGCGTAGCAACCTTTTGCTCCTGGCCAATCTCCTCCAACAGCCTCCTCAGCCAAATCACCTCCTTCACCCCATGGAACATCGCCATGTACTCTGATTCCACGGAAGAGAGTGCTGTCTCCGTCTCCTTCTTTGACCTCCAACTAGCCGGTCCTCCCCCAACTACGCAGATGTATCCTCCCACAGATGAGGAATCCTCCTTCTCAGAGGCCCACGTAGCATCAGTAAAGCAAGTGAGAAAAAGCTTGTCTTCTCCAAGCCTCTCCCCCTTCTCTTTCAGCACCTCAACCCCTTTCTGCTTCACCTGTGCAGATGCGGAGTATTGAACTCCAATGCTTGGGTGAGAGTTCAGATACTTCACCACACGCTCAGCTGCATCCACCTGCTCCTCTGATGGATTCTGCACTACCCTAGCCAGCTGCCCAACCGAGAAAGAGATGTCGGGTCTCGTGTGAACTGCTGCATACAAGAGGCTGCCCACCAAGGACTGAAATCGCTGCTGCTCCTCGGCTTCAACCCCTTCATCCTCTGCAGCTTTCA